CTAAACTAGACGTGGAGTAATAGAAAATTTCGCTCACGCATTTAACAGCATATTGAAAGCGAAACTGAAAGTCCGGAATAAATCTGGTTGAGTTGAAGAACAGAAATTAAAACTCTTGTTTGAAATAATTATAAATACAGTTTCGAAGAGAGAGATGTTACTACTAACTTTTGCTCGTTTTCTTTTATTCCCGACATCTCCATTATTATCATCATCAATTATTATTATTATTATTTATTTATTAAGCAATAATTATGTAAAGTAAATGCTAAATAAAATTGTAGCCAAAAAAAGCTTCTTTTCTTCATACACACAATCATTTTCGAGACCTCACATTCGCTCTCATTATAAACTTTATTCCATTCTCATTTTCACGTTTAATTATATTTTTTATGTTCTCCCCTGTGCGTAACCGTGTTGGTAACAAGTGTTGCTTCTTTTACGTTATCCCCTAGGATGACTTCCTTTTTATGGACAACTAATCACACATTTCCTGCGTTTACGCTTCTCCTTTATGTACGCCATCGCCGGTAACCACGCGAACCTCGTCCTTGCTTCTTGCCGCGCGTCTCTGCTTCTCACTGTCATTCACGCTAGAGAAGTAGCGAAGGGTTGTGCTCGAAACGGAAAGTCATTTGCCTTCGGCGAGAATCGAGAGGACGTATAGGCCACGAGCGTATACGGCTATACAAATGGAGTTAAGTGTGCGGGACACGAGAAAAGACGGCGCGCGTGGGTATACAATAACACGCACTCGCAAGTGCACGCGAAAGTGCAGGTTCGAGAGCGTCTCGAGGGCGCTTCGCCCGCCTGCATTCGGGGGATCTGCTCGAGATGGATTAGCGCTAAGAAACTGCCCCAATGGCATGTTACGGTTGTCACTCTGCCCGAGCGCCTCCCAGCGGTAAAATGTCACGCGGGCCTATCAGCCGCGGTAGAAATTTAATTATCGAGGCAGGTATCTAGAGGGAGGAGCGAAATGGCGATGCATCAGGGGAGACATTCGATGTCGCTGATAGCCTCGGAGACGCCTCGTTAATTAAATATAGAAATTCTAATTAATGAGTAGTGCTCGCAAAGAGGTGACTGTTCGACGGTCGTTGAACCCAAACATGTATCGTGAAACACGCGAGACGCAAAACAGCAACGAGTACTTTTATCAGAGTTAAACGTGACGTTACACATGGTTTAAAGCATTCGCTGATCGATCGATTGGTAAAATTCTTTCCCTTACTGCAATCAAACGCTTCGAAGCATTCGTGATTTTCATCACGCATCCAGATTTCACCTAAAGAATTTCGCTTCTTTACGAGAATTCTTTTGTTTTTTCGTAATATTTAATCTGGTGCGTTCGAGAAGTGCGCTATCAGCGCTATTGTGTCACTCTTGTCTTTACCGTTCATTAGAAACAAGGATAGGATGATGCAACGACGCTGATAGTGTGCTGCTCAAACGTAACCTTAACGCATGCGTGAATCTTCGCGACGAACTATATTGCCGTAATCGGGAGGCTTTTATTGTACACGCATCGGAATCTTTAAGATAAATTTCAATCGATAACGCTACAAAGTGGCTCGAGGATTATACGTATTATCCTCTTAATAGCCGCAAGGTATCCGCCGCTAAAAAAAAAAAAGAAAAAAAGACAAGACCCCTTCTCGAGAGTCCTCGCTTCTTTTCATTTGAACCTCGCGAAATCTTCAAAGAAAATTCGGCAAGCAATCGGTCGTTGAGTCGCGACGGCAGTTTCTTAAGAAGGAAAACCAGAGAGAGAAAAGATCCAAACGAGAAGGTCCAAGAAAGTGGAAGAAAAAAAGAGAGAGATAAGAAGGTATAAACGATTGAAGGAACGAGAGAATGATGTGTGTGTGTGTGTGTGTGTGTGTGTGTGTACTTACTGTGGGCGTAGTGGGCCGCAGCTGCGGGGTGATGCGCCGTCGGTCCGGTGTGAGGGTAGTAACCCCTGTAATCATTGCCGACCACTCCGGCCACCCCGGCACCCCCCGAAGGCGGCTCCAACCTAGGCGTCTCGTACCACGTCCTGGCGCTCGACTCGCTGCTCATGTCCATCGTGTCCAACGAGATCTCGGTACGTCGCGATCGCTCGCCGAAGAACGAGCAGGTGGAGGAATAACAGCGGGAAGAGGAGGCGCGAGAGGGGGAAGGAGAGAGAGGGGTGGAAAGCGGAAATACAGTGAGAGAACGGGCGGCAGGTCGGAGAGGGAGATTAGGAATACTGCCAAAAGCGCCTCTCTTCCTTTTCCGTCGTCCTCGCGACGCCCAGTGCGGTCATAGGTAATCTTGGTCTGATTTGCTGAGCGAAAGAAACTTCCTTCCTTAACCTCCGTCCTGCAAAACACAATCGAATAACATGGATTAGTTCTTCAGTTCTTTGCCCCTCGATCGATCGTTCGTTATTCCTCGTTATAATCTATTCTTCTATTGCGCGGCGAAAAACGCGTGCCCGAGATAGTCAGTGAACCCACAAATGTGGTACATTTAACCCTCGATTGCAGTTGTAAAAATCCACAACCTATAAGATCTAAAGCGTCCTATTTGAAATGCAGTAAATCTCTACTGGTGATTGCTAGAGAGAGGTTCTTCAACGATTCTTTTTACTTACTGATTACTTTTTACTTAGTTTAGAACTATACAACAGATTGTACAATCGTCGTAAAAATGTTCACTTCAAGTCTAAATAATCCGTTGCCATAGCTGAGCCTGAGGGCCTCAATTTCACAATTCACGGTGAACTCTGAACCGAGGTTCAACTTATTTCTCATCTCCCTTTCCAATTCGAGGCATTAGAAAGAGACGAAGAGTAAGTCGAAACCTCGGTTAACAGTTAACCAAGAGTTGTGAAACTGCGCCATCGAAGTCTGAACACGCGAAATTATTTTGCGCAACCTTTGTACGAGTAAATTGTAACAATTGGAAGCGGGTTCAACGTCGATTTACACGATACAGCTGCTCTAGCAGCGAGTGCTATCCGTAAGATGAACGAGATATATTATATGCAAACATGAAATGAAGTTAATTGGAGTGTTTAGCCGAACGCGATCCACGCGATCCGCACCGCCCCCCCCCGCCGCCGCGCTGGGAAAATTCCGGCTCTATTAGCAATAAATAATTTCGCGACTTTGCACGGGCTCGTTAACTGGCTAGACCAGACACACGTGCGCCGTGTAGCATGAAATAATTAATTGTAACGTTCGCGGGGGGAGTGGGTACGATACGCGCGCGACCAGGTTGACTTAATAAGACGACGGCTGTCATATCCGAAAATTATTACCGATAATAATTAATCGATCTACAACCCGGTTTCACGCCGAGGGGACAACGTCCCCCCGGCCGAGAGATATCTCTCCTCTCCGACACGTCATTTCAATAAAGCCGTCGCTCGGTGGCTTTCTCGGATTCTGGGCGCGATTCGTGTAACCGCGATATACGCACGAACGTGTGTGCGGGTACGGGATAATGAACAACTTTGTAACGTGCACGACGACAAGCTACGCCCGTTCGTTCGTTCGCACAGCACAGCACCGCACCACCGGTTTACGTGCGTTTACCTTACCGGCTTTCCCGATATCGCCCTTGTCGCGTAAAAGGAAGAACGGCGCGGCCGTGTCGTGAACCGGGCGGCGGACACGCACGCAGTAAATTAATACCGAAACACGAGACGCTTCAATGATTCTTCCATCGCTTACAAGCCGCATAATGCGCCGCCTGTGTGCGTTTTGAGAGACGTCTTTCCCCTCACTCCCCCTCTTCCTTTTTTCCTCTCCTTCTCGATTCGCGAAATCGAACAAGGCGCGAGATGATTCGCGTGAACGATCCGAACGAAACCGCCACCCCCGTCTCACCTCCCGTCTTCATCCGGCTCAGAAAACTGAAGGCAGAACTGAAGATAGAGAAAAGAGAACACCGACGTTTTTATTTCACTGTGAATTTATTCGATGTCTCACAACGTAAATACAAATAACTAAATAGGCCGAAATTCTCTCACGTTTAGTAAGCGATTAAACGCTCGAAAGCGGTTTTCTATGAATCTCTAAGATTTCGTTGATTTAAGCAGAATGTCATATTTTAAGATTTCAAAATTGATATATAAATTTTCAGATCTGTTTCCGCGAACGTCGCGTCGCGAGCCTTCCTCGATCAAAGTGCTAGATTCTTACTTACGTAAGAAGGGAATTTCAATAGAAATCCTATTCGATATCGTAGGTTGAATAAAAGCGGAGGAGGGAATGCACGAAAAACAGACTTACCCCGATTGTTGAATCGGTGCAACGCGTCGAATTTCGATTAATCGATCAGCGAGATCTACGGCAATTGGTCCTGATCAGCGCTTCAATACGAGCATACTGAGTATCAACGTTTGACGATCAAATACTCGAAATGATTTATCAATCAGCTTATGGGCGATCAAGGTCGCATCGATGACGCAATCGGGACAGGTTGGTTTAATCGCCCAATCCAGATAGAGGTGCGCGAGAGGAAAAGGGACAGTCTCGGAAGAGAGACGACTCGCGAGGGGAGGCGAAGAAATGCGGTTGGGATTCTTATCGAGAGACACGTTTTCGGAAATATTCATTACAATTATATCTTTGCTAGATCCGCCAGAGAATTTTTATTGTCGCGAGAACTAAGAACACCCGCGTGCGCATTCGCGAGGCTCCGGTGAAAAAATATCCTCCGGCGAGAAACCGGTTACGCCGGTTAACAAGTTTCATTTTCACTCGAAGTCGCAAAATAGTGAATCTTCCGACGCGCAAAAAGAACAACGGCGGTAGTAATGATTATGTTGGTTATTTCGACAAATTCGAACGTAACATTATATATTTCTTTCCTCTTTTCGGGCTTTTGGCGCTAAAAGTCACTCTCGCCCGGAGCAAATAAAACACTCGAAAACAATGCGCGATAAGATACACGAAAAACGTGTATCCTCGATAAGATTGATAACCTTACGGAATGTGACACGCATATCCGATTAATTTTGATTGCCAGGCCATCGAGATTCTTATGTCGTTATTGTTATTATATTATATGACATACAATGTGTATATATATATATATATATATATATATATATATATATATATATATATATT